ACCCCATCAAATGGCCCAAAGGCATTTGTGTCAACAGTCATTTCTCTCCAGGAAATGAAAATTAAAACCAAAAAGGCACTTATCCTTACCTTACAGAACCAGCCTAATGAAAAAGGCAACCGAGAGTGTTAGGAGGGGCCTGGGGCTGTAGCTCAATGGTAGAGCACTCATCTAGCATGAGTAGAACTCTAGGTTCAACATCGAGCACTACCAAAAATGAAGTGTTGGGTGGACGATGAACACTGTGGAGTGCTCGGTCACTGCAGAGAGAGATGAAACTTGCTTCACCCACATAGGAATGCTGGTGATTTTGACTAAATCTAGACTGTGTATATAGCTACACAGGGACCTTACTTAGATGTATTACCAAAAAGAACATGAAGTTACGTGTATCAAAGGACAAGTCCAGTATTGGGTCTAACATGATAGCCTCAAATTGGAACGTTTGCAAATTCCCAGTGATGGTAGAATGGATACCATTCTAAATTGAAGCATTCAATCTACCAAAAAAAAAAAAAATCACCAACAGTTACAAAGACAAAGAATCTACAGTGGTTCTCAACAGGGGTTGAATATCAGATACCATGCATATCAGATACTTACATTATGACTCATAATGATAGTAAAATTAATTATGAAGTAGCAACAAAAATATGTTATGATTGGGGGTCACCACAACAAAAAGAACTGTATTAAAAGTTCTCAATTAGGAAGTTGAGAAACCACTGATCTATAGCTACCCAAAGCAACATGAAGGACACTAAAAATGTTGAGCAAAAAGAAGCCAGGCCAACAACACTGAAATAGAATACAAACTGTGTCATCCTTGTCTTCATAGCTTATTCAAGCTATGGCTGCATAGCATACACAATACTCCGTTGAAGAAGAGAAGAAGGTAGAGGAAGCAGTAGGCTGGAGAGATGGCTTTATGGTTAGGAGCACTTGCAGCTCTTCCAGAGGACCTGAGTTCAATATCCAGCACCCGCATGGCTACTCACAACCATCTGTAATTCCAGCTCTAAGAATTCTGATGCCCTTTTCTGGCCTCTATGGGCACCACACACATATGGTGCATAGACACACATTCATACCCATAAAATAAAAAAAATTTTTTGGCTGGGTGATGGTGGTATACAGCCTTTAATCCCAGTACTCAAGAAGTAGAGGTAGGCAAATTTCTGAGCTCAAGGCTAGCCTGGTCTACAGAGAGCTCCAGGACAGCTAAGACTACACAGAGAAACCGTTTCTCAAAAAACAAACAAAACTCCAGGCAGTGGTGGCGCAAGCCTTTAATCCCAGCATTCAGGAGGCAGGCAGATCTCTGTGAGTTCAAGGCCAGCCTGGTCTACAAGAGCTAGTTTCAGGACAACTAGGGTTGTTACACAGGGAAATGCTGTCTTGAAGAAAAAACAAAACAAAACAGAAAAACAACTTTTTTTCAAGTACTCCAATTTATATGTCTCTGCTATACTCACTTACCTCTGGATGTTCATTATACAACAAAATAAATAAGCAGATATTTTGTAAACAAATGGTAGGGTGAGGCATATCAGTACTCAGGACTGAACCCTGGGCCCCACACATACTAGACAACCTCTCTAACCACTAAACCACATTACCTACTGCTGTGGGATAATACTTTTGTGCACTGTAAATATTTGTCACTCTTAATAAAACACTGGCCAGTAGCCAGGCAGTTAGTATAGGCAGGGCAACCCGACTAAGAGAATTCTGGGAAGCAGAATGACAGATATGCAGTCACCAGTCAGACACAGAAGAAGCAAGATAAGAATGCTACAACTGAGAAAAGGTACCAAGCCACGTGGCTAAACAAAGACAAGAATTATAGGTTAATTTAAGTTGTAAGAGCTAGTTAATAATAAGCCTGAGCTACTAGGCCAAACAGTTTATAATTAATGTAACTCTGTGTGTTTCTTTGGGGCTGAACAGCTGTGGACCAGGTGGGACAGAAACTTTCATCTACCTCCTTCCTTAAGGCCAACATTTTTGAAGTCTTTTTTGGCTAAAAAGACATCATTCTACCAGGTACTAAGTTAAATGTTTTCCATATAGTTTTTCAAGGGTCCCCTCTATCACCTTCTGTGACAGATGTTATACTGAGGAAACTGAGGCACAGGCACCAGGAATTTTCCAAAGTCCTGTTTCCATGGAGGATAGGGTGGTGAATCTTAAATCCAGCCTATCAGGGGTCAGAGGCCATAATTCAACTATGCTTTCCCACCTTAGCTGAGATCCTAGTGAATCACAGCCTGAGGGAACCAGTAGAGGTTTGGTGTGACCCACTTGTGTCTTCTTGGTTGCCTGCCTTCAACACCTTCAAGCTTTTCTTGGCTCTGAGGAACTGAGTTTCTTTCTCTCTGAATCTGTGTTACAGATTATGTAATGTCATTGCCCTCTTAAATGTATCCAGCATGTACTGAAATTCTTATGTTAGTCTCCCAGTAGTATTAAATGCTAGGCAGTTGAGAGATGGTCTTTCTTATTTTTGTTTGGTTTTTTGTTCTGTTTTGTTTTTTTGGGGGGTGTCTAACTTAGTAGTCTAAGATGGCCTGAAATTCAAAATGTTGCCCAATCTAAAGTTGCACTCTAAAGGTTCCAAGTGCTAGAATTACAGGTGTATGCCTTTGCTGATGTTACTTCTCAAACAGCTCGGACACACAGCTTGAGGAATCACCATGAGTCCTAGGCCAGCCTGGTTTACACAGTGAGCTCCTTGACAGGAAAATAGAGCCTTACAGTGAGACTCTGCCTCATGACCTTCCTACAAAATGCCAAAACAATAATCTGTACCTGCCAAATGGATTGGGGATCTCTTAACATAAGAAGTGTTCCCTACTTGTTCCCCTTTTTAAAAAGGTTCCCTGGTTACATGCCTTTAAGAGACAATCAAAAACAGTCACTTTTATAGATTTCCCCAGAAATCTACGACCAAGAAAATGGTTAGACTTTGTAAAGGTATCCACCAGACTCTTGGGTTGGGAATAGAGTACTAGGAATTTGTAAAGTAAAGCTAGGACACTCACGTCCTAGAAACCTGATGGGTAGGTATTGATTTAGTCAGTAAACCAGAAATTAATATTTTTTCAAAGATGCTTTACTTTTGCCAGATCAACCCTGAATGTGTTTGTAAAAACTGCTTACAAATGTTCTAACTTCACGTACATGTAGCACGGATCCATAAGGAAGTATTATTATTAGCTGTGAGCTAGCTGGTGGGAGAAGAAGGACACAAAAATACATCCTCTGATGATTATAAAATTGTTAAGTTTTGCTAATAATGAGCAAGGAATAATTAACCAAAATGATTACAAAAAGAATTTATTAGGTCAACATAATAAAACAAGTCTAAGAAATTGGTTGGAACATTACTGGGCCTTTTAAGAAGACCAAAGTCACACACTTTGGATATCACTCTGACAGTGTGTGGCATGAGGAAAGATTTTGGGCGACAGGACAAGGCTAAGTCTCTACTTCCTCTGAAATCTATGGTCCTGGCCCCTTGAAGGGCTGGAGTGAAATGTTTCCCACTTAGTGAAGAAATTGGACCTCTTTGTTCAGATCTTATCTTTGAGCATTTGCAATATCTGTTCACAGACATGGGATGCTGCTGTTGAGGACAAGCGGTCACTGGAGGACAGTTTTACCAGCATGTACAGTGAATAAAATTGTACTCCCTGCTGGAGTAACTTCATTTCTAATCTCATCTGGCACCAACAGTCCTTTGAGAAGTTATGATGCCGTGTTTGGGGACATTATTCTTCAGGATAGAAGGGAAAGAGTCTAATTACCAAATACACAATGAAATAATTCAAACTCACAAATCTTAGAGTCCCAGAAGATGAAGTCTTCATTTAAGTTGGAAGAAAGGGGAAATATTTTCTATCATTCCTCATAATAATAAAGTTAATTATTTCAAGATTATAATGGTCATAATTTCAGTGTGTTTTTAACTTAAAGCTGTTGATCATTAAATTTAATTTTTAAATGGTACAGGCTGCCAAGGAATTATAGGGAATACAGTATTCATTTAGGTGTTGGCTAGCCTCAAGCTATCAAAAAAGTAAAAATGAAACACAAAATAGGGCAGACGGAGTCATCTGGGTCTTGAGGGGTGACTACAAGACCAAACAACACAGAAAACTAGTATTTCAAACAAAACCAGCAAGGGAACTCCACAGACTACCTTTGCTTTGCTTTAATAAAGAAAGCAGCAGTCAGAACCTATGTATCCTTGAACCCATTCGCATAAAAGGTTTTGGCCTCCACAACAACTCTTTACACTTGGTAAATATTTCTTTCTAGGCTTACAACTTTTGCTCATGTTCACCATCATGAGGAGGAACAACAATAACAACAAAAAAATCTGTTTAGAACAAGAATAGTTTTCTAGTCAGAATCTCAGGTATCTTAAATATGTTACACTGTGCTTTCAAAAATGTAGTCAAATGCCTGACTGCAATGCCTGCTGATGGATCTTGCTCTGTTCCAACTTGTCAGTTTGGAAGTCCATGAAGGTGTAGGATGGACAGATGAGCACATCACACCAACTCACATACAGACTTCACCATAGCCTTTGGGTCATCATTCCCTTTACTGTCCTTTTTGTGCATTTGGGACACTGCTGTAGTCTGACGAAGCTATTCTCAAACCCTGTGAGGGAGGCAACAGAGATGTGTCTTTTCCAAGTCAGTCTAGGCACAACGCTAAACAACTTCCTGATACGCCTAGAGTCTACACACAGAAAACAAGGTAGTCTGTTAGTGTCAGTAACTGGCTCAAGCCTGAAACTCAAATGAAGATCTAGAAATGCTGAGTTAGGCATCTTGAAAATAGTCCATTCGATAGCTGCTTTCTGCTTTGGGTCCAACTGGCTCCAGTTTTGTTCAGGATGTGAGAGGAAGTACTGTGTTGAGCCAATTCCACCACCAGGAAGCAAAGTTCTTCTCGGAACGTACTGGGACCTTTAAATATTCAGTCTTTGGTGATAGCAGCTGGTGCCCAGGACATTCTTGGCTCCCTCTGGTCTCCACCCTGGTAACCCTTATTAGCCTGGTATTGACTACCCAGGCCCTTTAAAAACAGAGCCCTGGAAGTGAATGAAAGCGAAGAGTGACGTACAGAAGCTGGAAGGTTTGAAGTCAGCTTGGTCTGGACACTTTCTTGACTCCTCAGTGGCCTGTGTGGTTTGGAGTCCAGCAGGTGGCTTCTCCTCGCCCTCTGGTGGCTGGAGGGAAGGGGCACACAGACACCAACACACCAGGAGGGGGCGGTCAGTGCCCCTCGGTGATGCAGGGGTCCACACCACCATACTGATCACTCTGGAATCTCGATTCGGTTGGAGTACCCGATTTACAGGTGCGGGACATAGAAAGGGGTCAAGTAGGAGGGCCCAAGAAAAGGAGTGAAGGGACTCCCCGTGGCGGCTGTCGTTAACGGGAAGGAGGAAGGGGGAAATATGACGTTGCTCGCAGGATAGGTGGGGAAAGTCTGGAACGGCAGAGCGCCTGGAACCTGGGGGCCAGGACTGCTCCCGGTGCTACTGCCGCAGGCTCCCGCCACTACACCGGGTGTCCCAGGCTGCGGCGTACCACACCCCGCCTGCACTGTGCCGTCGGCCCCCGGGTTCTGCTTCTTCCACTTGGTCCTTCGGTTCTGGAACCAGATTTTGACCTGCGTCTCGGTGAGGCTGAGCGACAGAGCCAGGTTCAGGCGTTCGCACACGGACAGGTAGCGCGTGGCTCGGAACTTGTTCTCCAGAGCCACCAGCTGCTCGTAGGTGAAGGCTGTGCGCGCGCGCCGTGGCTTGGCGCAGCTAGGCTCGGATCGCCGGCGCCGAGGCCGCGGGGAGCCGGGGGAGCCGGGGGACGTTGGCAGCCGGTCGGTGCCACTCTCCCCTACTCCCGTCACCACAGCTTGGGCCTCTGGAGAGCCCTGGTGAACCCCCTGCCAGCGCTCCTGCCGCTCCCGCAGCTGCGCGCGCCCCGCGTCCTCAGCTTCCTCCTCCTCTTCCGCTTCCGAGCCTTCCAGGGGGGACGCGGGGCCAATGCCTCGGCCCGTGGCATCTAAGAGAGAAGGGCAGGGTGACCAGAAAGAAGCCCATAACAACTCCACCCGTCCGCATCCCCAAACCTTCTTGTCCTCCCCGAGAGCACTCAGCTTTCCCTTTGATCCAACTCCACTCTCGCCACTGTGTCCTCTTCTGTCCCCAGCCCTCACATCTTAGGGAGCAGATTTCAGGAATGCGGTATCCTCTTGCTCTTTACAAATCTACCCTTAAATAGTCACCCAAAAAGTATATGTTGGATGGCACCCCATATCAAGAAAGTACAGTGACTTTATCGAGCCGAGGAGAGAGGAGTCGGCTGTGCATTATGATATGGGAATGTCAAATGCGTTTACTATTGAATCTCCCCGGTCCCTAGGAGCCTATTTTGCTGTGGGACTCCTAGCAATTAAAAAATAAGTTATTAAGTTCCCCCTCCCCCCAAAAGGAGAAATTCCCCCTTTCCCATCTTCTCTCTCCGGCCGTGTTAATAGAGTTTCAGATTTGTCCGGGGCCTGATCGATAGATGTCATCTATTAAAGGTAAGTTTTAATCGAACAATATTAGGATCAGACAGGGAAAGGGGGTTTGAAGTCAGTACCTGCAAGCTGCGGGCAGGAGATATGCAGTCGCCAGTAATAGAATATCGATCAAGGAGTTGAGGGGGAGGGGAACGCGGCCCAACAGAGAGACCATCCAAACAATTAATCCAGGCCCTCAGCCGGACCCCAAGCCAGGCCACCAGAGGCTTCTGGGCCCCAGACAATCACTGCCAAACTTAGAAAAGAGGAGCAGGGGACTGTGCTGCCTACAGCCTTCCCCAGGACCAGAGTTCCTAGACCTTCGGCGGCGTCCCTCCAAGGAATTCCATGCCCATGTCCCACTCGGCATGAATCCTTCTGTCTTAAATTCCAGCCACAAACTTTCCTGAACCCTTCCTTTGATGTCAACCACCTTCAGGGGTGAGATGGAATGGTCTAGAAGAGAAAGCACCAAAAGCTTCCTGTCTGTCCACCCCCAGGCCCCTGTCAGGTCCAGGAAAGGTGAAGGCACCGACGGGCTCTGCAGGTGTTTCGGAAGCTTTGAAAACAAGGACCTAATCCTGGTCTCAGTTACCTCAACCATAAAAAAAGGAGTGGTGTTGATGATACTATATACTTGAAAGGCGTTTTCATAACCTTTACCCCTGCTCCTAGCCCAGGTTCGAGCACGTGGACAGCGTTAAACATTTCCGTTAGATGTGCGAGCCAGGCAGAGCTGTGGCGCTCACGCACTGAGCAGGTGCTCAGGAATGAGGCACATACCTGCCCTGGAATCTCAACCTCATCCCTGCCTCTTTCTTTCTCCAAGGAGGGGTGCTTCAGTTTGCACCTGCGCGGGTGCCCCTTCTCTAGTTCCCAGGCCACCAACATCCATTCATCAGACCGTGGCTGCTCCACACACACGGATACCGTCTCAGACTGAAACCACCTCGCATTCTTACCAGGGGTGTCCTGCGACCCGATCGTAGACTCGGGGCTGGCGTCTTCCCCTGCTTCCACCTCCGCTAAACTTTTCTTGGCTTCCCGGGCAGCTAGACGCACCGGTGGGAACGCAGCTCGCGTGAATTTTTGCGGATCCAAGATGTCCAGGACAGAGAAGGAAATCTTGTGGTGAGAAGGAGCCGCCTTGGCCCCGCCATCCTGCCAGGCCAGCATACCCGCCTCCCACGGACTGGAGGCCGGCTTCAACCGGTCCGGGATGGGTGCACTAAGGCTTGCCTTTGGCTGTGGTTCGGTCACAGCGCTCCTGTCTCCAACTGGATTTTCCCCGCCAAGTGAAGCTGGAGAGGGGGGCAAGGAGGCGGGGCGGGAGGAGAGCAGCGGGGGACTTGCGGATTGGCACTTGCGCTGGCCAGACCCCCGCCACGTGCAGGGTGAGTTCGCAGTTGCCTCGGGACTATCCCGCGTGGCGTGGTGGCGGCTGACCTGGACCAGAGGGATCCTCACCGGCCAATGCGCGCTCCTGAATCCAGGGGTCACGGTTGCAAGCTGCGCGAGTGTCCTTCCATCCCGTAGAAACTCGTGAAGGGCGCCAGGGAGGCTTTCATCTCGAGTATCCCCTCTACTCACACACATATCTGACTGAAGTTTACTTATTTCTCTTGGAGCACTTGCCATCTGTCTTTGACCTGAAGACGCCACCGAGGCTAAGCCTGATCCCTCCGCAATGATGCTTGGCGCATCTCATGCACCTTCTGTGAACCACAGTAACGACATCAGAACCATTTACCTCAAATTTTTAAAGCCTCGGTGTGTTTACAGTTTACAAAGCCCTGGGGTTTTTTCACTCTCTTGATTTTCTAAGCTTCCCTGTGAGGTGGGCGTGGCCCGGGACTACAGTCTGCGTTTCAAAGACAGGAAAAATGAGGTTCAAAGATGAGCAAAGATCTATCCAGGGTCACTGCAGTCAACAAGAGTCTGGACTGGGCTAGAGAGATTTTTCAGCACGTCCTCTGTCTTGGAAAATGGAAGCGAAAAATTGTCCTTGCACAGGAGACTTTTCTTTCTACCCAGAGAGGGGTAGAGGCCAAAGGGTGAATTATAGGAAAGATAAGTGTCCAACCAGGATGGCCTTGGGCTCAGGGCCAGGTAGCTCGACTGAGGGTGCTGTCTTTCTTTCAGTTACCCAGAGTGGCATTTTCGCTGCCTGACAGGACTTCTTCACAGTCACAGGTTCCATTATTAGCATCAGAAATTGACTCTATCTCTGACCCCCATCCTCGCCCGACCACTAGAAGGAAAAGGTTAAAAGATGCCTGTTGGTCTGAATTTAAGATCAGAGAAGAGATACGATTAAAATGGCGCCATCTGCCCACCCCCTCGTCTCCAGGAAGGACAGCCAGCATTGGATGTGAGGGAAAGCTCACTGTACTCACTGTAGCCACACCCGTGGTGACTTTCCTTCTTTTTGTCATGGCTGTGAACATTAGGCATTTATTTCAGCGGTCAGTTCTGAAGCATCGCTCACTTAGCTCCACTCTCCAGAGCCACCTCGGACCCCGCCGCTCCTTTCTTCTTTGCCCCATGCGGTTCCCAGACAATGTCTTGGCAATTAATATTGTCTGAGCAGGTAAGAAGTAGGAAGAGGAGGGGACTCTTTCACACTAAAGTGCTGGGGGCTACTAATCCTATCTATTAGTAAAGAGGCAACCTCGGGGGCTAGCTCCTTGTAGCTTTTCTCATTCAAACCTTGTAGTCCCTCCCAGGGGTGCCCACCATATTCCCTGCCGACTTTAAAGCCTTGCCGAAATTCAAGTCAACTCCAGCCTTAAAGCAAAGACGGATTGCGCTTTTAAAGTGGTGGGAAGGAAGTGCCCAGCCCAAGCCCACCAGAACCAACCCCAACCCCCCTCCCACCCCCCCCCCACCCCCCCCCCCCACCCCCCCGCCAAAGGGAATTTGTGCCATGAGAAACTCAGGGAAAAGAGCCCAGAAGCTGAGAGGCTGGGGACCAGGGACAAGGCCTGCAAATCACAGATCCTTCTGGAATGCACACACTTTGTTTTCTGTTTGGATAACCCTTTGTCACCTCATTTCCACATTTTTTTAAGTCTTCCGTTTTCTTTCTCTCCCTTCCCCTATTGACCCCAATTCCAGCTACCTTTTTCCATTATATATATATATATATATTAGTTTTTTCAGGGTAACTGGGAATAGATAAAACGTTCCTTCTCTTACCCTCTTCTCTGGAGCGAACACTGAGGCTGTTTCATAAGAATGGGAGGGTGGGGTAAGCATCCCAGAGGGCACCCACATCCTAAACCAAAGGGACCAGGAAAGAGCCCCGATATCCTACCCCCCGCATCAGACAGAACTTGGATTATGTCATTGTACTTCCATAGCCTCTTTTTGTTGTTGTTGTTTAAGTTATATAAAGTTTTTCATTTTGTATGAGTCATTTTTCCTTTGAAGTCTATGGTTCTAAATACAGAAAAGGGACCAAAATGGCAGGAAGTTGCACATTGGAGAGAAAAATCCAAGAACATGGAGAGGCCACGTTGTGTAACCTGAAGACTCCTGAGCTTGCCTTCTTGTGATGTGCTGTCTTCACTTTCTCACCGTTTCTCCTGTGTGTATGTTCACTACAGGGCGACAGTCCAGGATCCCTGCTTAGTGTTTGACTCTGAATACTAACTGACATGGAAGAAACATTGCTGTCTCACTCATTCAGCCTGGAGATAAATGCCCAAAGACCAGGGTGTGTCTTCCCGCTGAGGGGAGACAGAGGCAGGAAGTTTCAGGGAACCGTTTCTCTGCCCACTCACTCACTTGGTATGGACCATCAGGCAGTGAAACCTCCGTTCAGGCACAACTGGGAGATGTGCTTGACCCACTAGTGTGGCACATGTGCTACCCAGGCTGTTTCTATGGAATACATACATTCACATCTGGCAAGCCATTTTTCCTCTGTGCGTAGGGGTGATTTGGCTGTTGGTTTTTTTGTTTTGTTTTGCTTTGCTTTTTTTTTTCTTCTTTCCCCAGCCTGGACATTAAAATTCTGTTTGAGTGCTGTCTTTAAATTGCTTTGATGCTAGGTGGGTTCCAACTCTGACCTGTCCTGATGGCAAGTGATGACTGTAACAAGCCCGGGATCAATATTCATAGCGGGTGTCCTGGACTGATAACGCTATCCAAGACAATGTTCGCTATCAGTATGGACAGCTGAGATATTGCACCATTAGGGATGTTGTGTTAAATAACCCGATCCATTTCTAGGGCTATTTAATGAATTTCACAGCTTAGATAGTATCTTTAAGGAGATGGCAAAAGGCTATTCCGGAGGCACCGATGCAAATCAATGGTGCCAGGCTTCTCAAGCGATTGCACAAACAAAGTGGCCTGTAATTCCAGCACAGCCTTAAGAAGCTGCCACCCGCCCTGGGAGCAGGATTAACAATGGAGAGAATGTGCGGTGTATCCAGAGGGAGGGTGCTGATATTAGGAGCTGCATTAAGGTCCCTAAGATAAAATCATATGTTCCCGAAATAAATACAAGTGGAGTTCTCTGTTTGAGACAGCCCACAGGTTAGGACATACATGCCAAAGAGACAGCTTCATCAGGCACAGCTGAAGGCCAAAGGGAGGTGGTGACCATGAAGACAGTCATGTATACAATCTTCTACTCGGGTAATCAGCCCGATTTCCCCAGTCACTCCATACAGTAGGAGGAGAAAAAAAAAAAAGACACTGGGTTTTCAAAGGAAGGCTACTGGTGGAGTACTGGTTTGTTTACCTGACCCCAGGCCCTCATTGCTAGAAATTACAATTTACATTTGGGGGCAGAGGCAGGAGGACTGTTCAAATTTGAGGCCATTAAATTCTATTAAGTTCCAAAGCCAATCAAGGCCTCATAAGAAAATTCAACAAAAAGTATGTAATAAAACTGGGGAAAAAAAAAAAACGGCAACAGAAAATACAAAACTACCTTGGAGACTTTTGATTTGTGAAAGGAATGTTGAAAATGTAGCCTTCCTAGGCTAGGGTCTTAGCTCTTGGCTCAGCTGGTAAAGTGTTTGTCCTAGTGTGCACAAAATTCTGTTTTTCACCCAGTACCATGTAATTTGGTGGTGCACACCTGTAATCCCAGCACTTGGGAAGTGGAGGCAGGAGGATCAGGAGTCCAAGGTCATTCTTCACTGCTTGTGAAGTTCCAGGCTACCTGGGCTACCTACACAAGACTCTTCCTCAAAAACTGATTTTTACAAATGAACAAATAAATTATTCGAAACAAAAGCACAGTCTGCCAGCCTTCTCCTAAACTGCAAATCCCAAACATAGTCACATAGTTCACATCAAACAATAAAAGTGTGTCTTGTGGAAATCTAGAAGTTAAGTTGTTAAGACAGGATTGTGGGTCTTCTTATGCAACAACTCAGGCTAGCTGGAGCTCGTGGTCCCCCTGCCCACTTCACATCCTGAGTGCTGGGATTACAGAATCATATCTGTAGCTTAGAAATTTAGAGGAAACATCAAAGGTTATTAAGCAGACAGGTGGTGGTGCACGCCTTTAATCCCAGCACTCGGGAGGCAGAGGCAGGCAGATCTCTCTGAGTTCGAGGCCAGCCTGGTTTACAAGAGCTAGTTCCAGGACAGGCTCCAAAACAACAAAGAAATCCTGTCTCAAAAACAAACAAACAAAAAAGGTTACTAAGCAATAGAGGGTTATCTCAGTGAGCAGAACACGTATTTGTCATGTGTATTCTGATACATAGTCTCATAATAATAATTAGTATTAACAATATACACTCTTTGTTTGGCTTTGCCCTGGGCCAGGCTTTGGGCTAATCTCTGTTGGAAATTATTTCAGGAGCTTTCCACAGAGGTTTTGAATCAGGTACTATTAGCTTGCAGTTGGGAAAATGAACTTAGAGGGGGTTGGTTACATGGGGAACAGGCTCAAAATTGTTGGGGCTGGAATTTGAATGTAGTGAGATTTCAGAACCCTCTCTAATAATGTTCTTTCTGAGGAAATCCACTCCTGGCCCCAGGATGTAACCTAATCACAGCAGCTGGTCCTTAAAACTGTGCAGATAATTGGACTATGTAATAGAATATCTGAGGAAATAAGTGAGCCCATGCCTGACCACAGGTTTCAGGGACCCCATTGGGGGAGATCTTTTTTGTTTGTTTTGTTTTGTTTTTCTAGTCAGGGTTTCTCTGTGTAGCTTTGGTGCCTGCCCTAGAATTGGGTCTTGTAGACCAGGGTGGCTTCGA